AAGTATCCTTATGAAATAATAGGTAAATTTCATTATAGTTCTTATCCTTATTGATGTGCCATTTGTTCCATGTTTGACCATTAGGAGCTTCTTCAGGTTGACTTCTGAGTCTATTTGACACGATTCTAATAACTTTGGCAACTTCTTCATTATGTGGTATATCAACATGGTCCAAGATGCTTTTTCCTGCCCTGACTTGTAATCAGTTATTTCTTCAGGAAGTTCTGAAAACTGCAGTTGTTGTCTTCTTTCTATGATACAGAATATATGTGGTCCTTTTAAACAAACCAACTATCAATATATTAATAAATGTATGGCTCCCATTGTAGTAAGATGTCCCAAAGCACCAAAACCAATAATAATCTTCAAATTCCAAAACAGTAAAAAATATGTCTTTCTTGCATAAAAGCAGTATGCAAAGTTGGTAGTGGTTGTTAATTCCTCCTTTTTAAACTTAAATAACAGGAATTTGCAATAGATCTGAATTTTTTTAAAGAGAGAGAGAGAGAGAGAGAGAGAGAGAGAGAGAGAGAGAGAGAATTTTTTTTAAATGTTTATTTTTTGGCGGACACAACATCTTTGTTTTGTATGTGGTGCTGAGGATTGAACCCGGGCCGCACGCATGCCAGGCGAGCATGCTACCGCTTGAGCCACATCCCCAGCCCCTAGATCTGAATTTTAAACTCAAATAATAAAGACAATCTAGGATAAGAGTTTATCATAGATCTGGGATTATATATTTAAGACTGAGGTTCAAGGTCAATTGTAAGAGGTCTATACCACATTGTCACCAATTTCCTGGAGGAGCTCCGATGGTTTTATGGTTGCCATATCTATTTGTTTCTCTGATAACACAAAGTCTTTCCCACATTGTGGATTTCAGGTAGACAATTCTAACTTCCTTCAGGGGCTCTTCCTGGCAGCACGTGTCTTGGGTTTTATAATCTCTATGAAAGAAATCTTGAAATGGAGTCTTTCAGCAAGAAAATTGAAAGCAATGGTTTTAAAGATCATTGGTTATTTCTTAGCCAACACGTGACACCAGTATTTTAAATCAAAATCTAGGCAGTAGGAGGGGTGGTTTGAGGTTAGGGAATGTTCTTGTCTCTACTCCTCCATCTACCCTCAACCCAGAGTTCATGGTTGGAATTTTATGATCCTTCATCGGAAATTAGCAATTTGTCACATTCCTAATGTTTACTTAAGTTAAAAATTTTAACGGTCCCACTGATGTGGTTTTCTTGTAGATGCCGATGACCTTATGTTTTCAAATGCATTCTTTTCTGATGTAACTTTCAAAATTAATTTTTTGCAAAGTAGGGCCAGATGTTGAAATATCTCTAAGATATGCATATGGTCATTTAAACTAATCATACTGGTTTCTTTTGGGAGAGAACTTGAAATATGCCATATAGAAATGCAGGAATTTCTGTTTGTTAGAAATACTAATTGAAGAGAAATATGTAAATGCAAAAATCATTCCTAACCATTCATTCTAAAGTTTGCTGCAAATTAGAGAGTTCGAGGTGCTATAGATGATAGAGAAGTTATAGGTACAAAACCTATTTCTCTGAGTCTTATATTAAAAATGGATGAAATGCCCAAACTTATTTTGCTTTTCTCAGAAAGTTCAGGCCTTGGAGTATGGTAGATCTTTAAACTTTCTTAGGGTTTGGAGTAAATATGGAATATGGGGCTTTTTGCTTGAAGACACAGTAAAATATGACTGGGGACTGAGTGGACAGTTCTTAATGAGGGGAAATAGGATGAGGTAAGAGAGGCAAGATGAGAAGAAGGAGCCAAGCTGTACAGGCAAAGGTATTAGCAACTGAAAGAAGCCAAAGCATGAGGAGCCTTGGAGACAGCAAAAGATTCTTTTTTTTTTTTTAAGATGGACACAATAACTTTATTTTATTTATTTGTTTTTTTCCAGAATGCATTATAATTCTTATTACATGTATAGAGCACAATTTTTCATATCTCTGGTTGTATACATAGTATATTCACACCAATTCGTGTCTTCATACCTGTACTTTGGATAGTAATGATCATCACATTCCACCATCATTAATTATCCCTGCTCTCTCCCTTCCCCTTCAACCCCTCTGCCTTATTTAGAGTTCGTCTGTACCTCCCATGCTTCTGCTCCCTATCCCACTATGAATCAGCCTCCTTATATCAAAGAAAACATCTGGTATTTGGTTTTTTGGGATTGGCTAACTTCACTTAGCATTATTTTCTCCAATGCCATCCATTTACCTGCAAATGCCATGATTTTATTCTCTTTTATTGCTGAGTAATATTCCATTGTGTATATTTGCCACATTTATTTTTATCCATTCATCTATTGAAGGGCATCTAGGTTGGTTCCATGGTTTAGCTATTGTGGATTGTGCTACTATAAACATTGAGGTGGCTGTGTTCCTGTAGTATGCTGTTTTCAAGTTCCTTGGGTGTAGACTGAGGAGAGGGACAGCTGGGTCAAATGGTGATTCCATTCCCAATTTTCCAAGAAATCTCCATACTGCTTTCCATATTGGCTGCACCAATTTGCAGTCCCACCAGCAGTGTATGAGTGTACCTTTTTCCCCATATCCTCGCCAACACTTTTATTGTTGTTTCTATCCATAATAGCTGCCATTCTGACAGGAGTGAGATGAAATCTTAGAGTGGTTTTGATTTACATTTCTCTAATTGCTAGTGATGATGAACATTTTTTCATGTATTTGTTGATTGATTGCATATCCTTTTCTGAGAAGTATCTCATCATGTTCTTGGCCCATTTATTGATTGGGTTATTTGTTTTTTTGGTGTTTAGCTTTTTGAGTTCTATGTATACCCTAGACATTAGTACTCTATCTGATGTGTGAGGAGTAAAGATTTGCTCTCAAGATGTAGGCTTACAGATTTGCTCCCAAGATGTAGGCTTACCTCACAGATTGTTTTTGCTGAGAAGAAACTTTTTAGTTTGAATCCATCCCATTTATTGATTCTTGATTTTAATTCTTGTGCCACAGGAGTCTTATTAAGGAAGTTGAGGCCTAATCCTACCTGATGGAGATTAGGTCCTCCTTTTTCTTAGATGCAGGGTCTCTGGTTGTATACCTAAGTCCTTGATCCATTTTGAGTTGAGTTTTGGAGTGAATCTGGGAACCAGCATTTCATTGTCTATCATTGTGTGTGTGTGCTTTGCCTGGGCCCCTAAATTGAATGTGCTCAGAATAATTAAAAATCTGGAAGCAAAGTAAATATAACTCTAAGATAGGGGTACCTTAAAAATAATCAGACACAATTATATTTTATTCTATCAGTTGAAGATGCCCCAAGACAAAGACTTAAAAATGGCTGAAATGTGTGACCTTTGTAAAAACAGTGATTGCCTGACATTATACATTTAGCCTTGGTTGAACTGGGATGATGACAAAAGGTGTAACAGCCCAGTGGCTGAAAAGAAACAAGTCACTTTTCTAAATAGCAGTATTTTTATTATGGAGTGCAAATTTAGGAAATAGTTTTGAAAGAGAAAAGATACCATAGAAAAAAATAACAATTTAGTAACAATTACTGGAGCTTAACCCAAGGACAAATATAGCATTTACTACTCCATCTTCTAGGGAGTAGATACTTTTTTCTTAATTCATAGTTTTTGTTGTTTAAATCAGTATAAAAAGATCAGGGGACAAACCCTGAAGGCCATACTAGGGAAAGGGCTCAAAGAACCATTATGATTGATGCTCAAAGAGAGGAGATGAAATAATTTAGTATTAATCATAACTCTGGAATGATCATTTTTGATAGAAAATAAATTTACTTTTAAAGTCAGTCAAAGCATTTATAAATAATTTTGTGGTAATAGACTGTGATCTTTACATGTGAATTTCTCCAAATAAGATGAGAATGATATCTTTTTTTAAAAAAATAAAGTTTGAAAGAGAGAGAGAGAGAGAGATGAGAGTTTATTCAATTTCAAAATCTCTGAAAGAATTTTGTCTAATTGTGAAGATTGAATTTGGGCAAAATGTTCTTGACTTCTGAAATCATTTGATACTCCTTTTCCATGCTGATGTTACTGACAAAGTTCAGTGGCTGAGAAGACTAAATGTTACCACTTAATTGGCACATTTGGTTGATTTAATAAAATTTATATATGTGATTTACTTTCTAACAACTTTGCTAAAGTGAAGTAAACAGTAACACAAAGAGAGTTGGTATTTCAAAAAACGTCACACTCTTATTCTGTAAGCATTCTTAAAGTTTTCTATATGACAGTTTAGTAAATACCAGTAAGCACGGTGATCACAATTAGCTACTAGGATAATTAATATTAATTTTAATCAAAGCTAAAAGCTAGAGAGACTATCAAGACAATCAATCAATATAAGTCTATTTGTAAAAGAAGAAAAAGCAAATATCAGTTAGCAAATCAAACAACAACAACAACAAAAAATCCAGTGGTATAAAATTACTGAAAATCTCAGAGGGTCTCATTATCATTTAACACAAATTCGCACAGCTTTATTAGCAAATAACTGCTAACAAGAGCACTTATTTCCATTAACAAATGAAATTAGAATTTTGTGGAAGGAGGTGGGGCATGGGGGAAGTAAGGGAGATTTTTTAAGTTCCAAAGCTATTTTTGTTTTTGGATAGTTTGTATTTTAGGGTGTAAAATAATTGCATTGGTAGGTGATAAAGAGCTTTACCTTTCAATCTCATTAGAATAATTTCAATTATTTTATAGAAGTTGAAACATGCAGTAGGGGTAGATTGGTTATGAGTTGCCTTGAAGTTTTACCACATGCCTGTTATCTCTCAGGATTTCAGTTTCTTTAACCAAAATGAAGATTTTGGACGTGGATAATTTTTGAGGTCATTTAGGGAGCACAGATTACATTCAGCTGCTCATTGAACCTCCCTACTTGGTAACAAGGCCCTTGACCTTATTTCCATTGCAAACTTAATAAGAAACCATTAACAGTGCTGCTGGAGGTTCCAGGCATATGGCTCACCCATACATGAAAACAAGGACGCTCCAAGGTCAGTGGGTTTTGGAGAACTCAGACGTTCCTTTGTCAAAGCACGGAAAGGTAAGAAAGTCTAGAAAGTCCTCCAAGTCTGGTATGTTACCAGAGCTGCTCTCAACATATCTATCTAATAATAAATCTTTGATTTTTTTGAATCCACAATATATATCTTTATTTCTTAAACTCTGAAAGACAAGGGTTTTCCTTAACACTAAAATAAAATGTGTTTTCCATTTTATGTGTTGGCTTTGCTCCAAATTAAATAATCTGGTAAAGTCATTAAAGGAATTTAAGACTTTAAGTACTGGTCTCCATTGTTCCTTTTCTCTGGCTAAGCTTTACTACCTAAAAATGCGTATTTTTAAAGAGTTTATTGAGGTTCAAAAAGTATTGGCTGATATACATCTTTGTTGCTTAACTGGGCATTTTGTTAAATATTCTACTGTTTCCTTTTGATTCCAACTTCAACCTCCCTCTTACATTTTGAATGAATATTTGGTAATTAGTTATTCCCATCTTTTTCTAAGATAGCTTTCCAGGAATAAACCCACAGGCACTCTAAGGATCTTTTATGTTTAAACTGTTGTGACTTATCTTTTTTGTGCAATTATCTAAGCAAAAAATGTATGATTAGAATTAAATCATGAAAAATAGTTTTTCCCTTCTTAGTAGAGATGACTTCTTGGCTATAGATCTATGAGTGGACTAGGAATGGGAAGCAGAGTTACTCTTGTCAAACTTGTGTATTATAATACTTTAGCAATTATCTATATGAATATGCCTTAGTATGACAGTTGTGTCTGTCAGGCTGTAATGTACAATTAATGACAAACTATTGCAACCAGATGGATAGGGTGTTTGGAAATAGTGTTTCATTTTATCTTAATTGTAACACTCTTTGTTTTTTCCTGCAGCTATGTGGTATCTTGATCCTGTCAATAGCAATATGGATCCGAGCAAGCAAAGATGGACAAGGGGTAATATAAAAATAAATACAATGTAATCTTGCCCCCAAATAATTTCTCGTATAATAATGAAAGCAATGGCAATATTAATAATAGTAAATATTTCTGTAGGTTTTTCTTAATTGCCTCATGTAATTGTACTGATAATTTGATTTTATAATTCAATCAAAATTACTTACTATGTTCCTGGCACTGTGCATGGAACAAAGAAAGTAATCACTATGCATAGAATAACCTTCTGGAGAGTGGAAGAGGTGTTATCCCACAATTAGGAAGAGTTCAGTGGAAGTGGAGGTAGAAAGGGGCCAACGTGGAAATTTGACTCCTTCAGTATTTGTTTATGGTTGGCTTGACACAGCTTGGGGATGTAGACCACTGCTCCTCCTCCCCACCCAGAAGAACAATTTATATGGCACCAGGTATTGACAATATTTAGCTGATTCCCAGGTGACTGGCCCCAAAGGAAAGAACATGAGAAGTACTCTTGGAGAAGAATGTACATCAGTGTTGTAAAGGTAGCAGATCTGTCACAGCTAGCATCGAGGGCCACCCCTTATAACAACAGGGGGCTGATCATGCTAGTGCGACTCTGCAGGTAGCTGCACATGCCCAGCTTCTTGCTATTTATGCAGGATCAACATGACCACTTCCCATCACTGCAAGCCTTTCTATCCCTTGGGCAAAGCTCTTACTAACATTTCCACAGGTTTGAAGGAAGGTTAGTTCTGAGGGTTGATTCTGGCTCCAGCCTTTGGACTCCACATGTGCTATTTCTGCTTCATATCATAGACTCATAGTGTGGAAGGAGGAGGGTGGAGGTGAGAGTGTGGGAAGATTGTTTTGTCAGTTCCCCCAATATAATACTTACAATGCTACCCTGGCACTATCTCCTGGGTCCCCTGTTCCCAGTTTTCTTTTCCTTCCTCCCTCCTGTCAGGAGCAATCCTTTCCTTAATTTATTATTCTTACCCGATGTAAAGCAGTTGACTTGTTCTTCTTGGTTTTTACGCTACTGTCACTATTCACGATTGCAATGTCTTTTCAAAAGTCTTCCTCTTACGAGGCAATTTGATGTCTATTTGATAGCTACAAAGATAATATGAAGCCAGTAATTAAGACAATGCATTTTCTATTAGAATTTATTATGTGGTGCAGCTAAATGCCTTTGGACACAGCCTGGTGGAAAAAAAAGCAAATTAACATCTGTTTTGCTTCCTTTCCTAAAGTGGTTGAGTGGTTGGGTTTTCTGAAAATTTATTTAGTATTTCTTCTTTCTCTTTTCTTTCCTCTTTTTTTTTTTTTTTTGTAATTTTCTTTCTACCCTGAGAACCTAGGGAATCATTGTGGCAATTAGCTGCTTCCTCATTCTGGGCCTCGCCTCCGTGAAGAAACTGGGTGGTGGGGTGGTTGTGGCAAGTAGTCGGTAACTCCCAAATTTATCATTTTCATTTATTACTTATTCAGATAAATGCAACTCTGACTGCCTAATGGCCTGGGTCTCTGATGTTTGGGTCCAAGGAGAATACTGGAAAGTGTGCAGAATCGGTTTGACTTTGGAGCTCATAATTGGGCACAGAGACTAACAGCCATTTGAGGGTGCTTTTGGTCCTTTAAAGATGTGTGTGCAGTCTGCATTTTATTTTATTTCATTTTCATGTTTCTGGTTGACAGTCTCTTTCTCCCAACTGTTTCTGGTAAACAAACGTGGTGTTTAGTCTGTAAAGGAACTGCACACATTGAACGTGTTAAAGGAGAACTGTTGTCCTTGAGAGGGTGTGACTCCACATCTGGGGAGGAGAATGTACTAATGGGGCTCGACAGCATCTTTAGTTACATTTTGACTCTTATGCTGTCGGCCTCTTACCCTGAACAAAAGTCTCAATTGGCCAGAACAACATTAACCCGCCTGACATGGGAAATTGTTTTGATTCACATTAATCTGAAGGCAGTGACAAAGAATCGGGACTGAGAGAAGATTTGATTTATTACTGGAAAAACAGAGGCAGCCATTTTAGAAGAGAAAACATGGGCTTAAAACAAAAAAAAAAACCAAGATTGTCAGGGAGGTGGCATCTCTTTCTGCTCAAGTGTCTCAGAGGGACCTGGTTTCCTCAGGATAAATTTTGCACCACGAGGCAAAGCGTGCTGGTAGCCATCTTGTTCCAGCAGATCCCTTCTTCTCTAAAGATGACACCCAAATGCTCCTCTTTCAGGCCCAGCCATCCCATTTCCTGTAGAAAGCCTCCCCTTGTCTTAAGATACACATAGACTCAGTGCTCACCCAAGGCACTGCAGCTTTTAAAAAGCTGCTGTGTCTGTCTCTGTGGGAGCAAGCATCTCAACTGGGGTTTCTACTTCATTCTTTATAACAATAGCCACTTATTGGGCTGGACTTGGAATAGTGACTGACAGGCAGTCAACACAGCGGTTTTTTTTTTTTTCTCAACTGGCTGTGGTTCACTCTGCATGGTCTGTCCCCAGAAGTTCCAGTACAGGTGTTAGGTATTTGGCCTATTCTTTCTAACTCTGGGCTATGTATCCTAAGTTCTAATAACCCAGCTAGAGAGTCTCCATCCTTCCGTGTGCCTTAGGTTTGTCTGTACTGGCTGCAGTGTTCTGAAGAGCAATATTTGATAGTGAATTCATATATAGCTACTTATGTTTTTCTTCCTTAAGGCTGCTTTTTTGTCCCATCTATTTTGACCCAGATGTCATGCCTGTTTAATTAACAAAAATGATTTTCCTAGCTCCAAATCATAACAATCAAACAGAAAACCCCCAAAGCAAACAGAAATCTTTAGGACATAACCAAACTTTCAAAATATGTAAATTGAAACATTATTTGTAAGCATAGACTTTTGGAGACAAAAGAGTCTTTGGAAATCACAGACCTGACCCACTTCCCTTTTATAAATGGAAAACTGGGCCCAATGAGTTAGTTGACCATCCTAGGGTTGCAAACCTAGTTATTTCCTAGGCCTCTGATGGGAATATAGAGCTTCATTTTAATACTTTTATCATTTCTACACATTTCTTCCTATTCATTGTTGAATAAAGGTTTTCTCTAGGCTTAAAAATTAAGTCTTTAAAACAAAAGAATTATTAGTAGTGGCAACAGTTATTTTTGTACTGACTGTTAAGGGAGGTGACCTCTGGGCTGCATGGCAGATTCTGGGAGGCAGAGTCTTTGAGTGGGTGGAGGGACTAGTGCCCTTCCTAGAGACCATCTAGCAGACAGCAGCCGTGGTGGTCATTATAGGAAACAGATGGGCTACCCGCCTAAAAAATGTTAACATCTGGTGTAAGCTGTCACTCTAATTGTGATGGGCTACTGGACATATACCTGGAGGACATTGGTAGACTGAGGCTAGGAGTAATGAGAGTGGTGAAGAAGAGGGTGCTGTGCTGCCTGCCAGGTGAACTGAGTTATGGCAGATATGTAGCCCACCTACCATGAAAGGCCCTAGGATGTTTGCCTCTCATCTGAATACTTAACAGTAGTAGGTAAAATAGAGTTTCTAGAATATGCCCTCTAGGAAAGAGAAGATAGAATTGATAATGGAATATCAAGTACTGGACTTTTTTTTAAAATCAAGATGCAAAGCATTTTTATTAACCTGAAAAAGTCCCTTATGTCCCCTTCCTTCTTTGCTCAAAGGAATACAAGGTTCTGATTTTCATCACCATGGATTTGCTTGTTTTTGAACTTTGTATGTATGGAACCAAAACAGTATTTACTCTTAATAAAGGACCCCCCCCCCACTCAACACAATGAGTCTGAGATTCATTCCTATCATTGTGTATATCAGTGATTTGAAGAACATGGGCTTTTTGAATTAAAATAATTAAATTCCCCTAAACACATGCTAGTTTATGTATAAAATGCAAAATATGTGAATCAAAAAAGAGTGAAAAGTAGCTGGTCTTCTAAGCTTTGAAAAACAGTTTTTAAAAACCATTACATTTCTTCCACCCAACTTTTAACATTATTAGAAAAAGATAAGGTTGGAAACATTATTCAGAAAAGTGGTAGCTTCACGAAATGTATAAGGGTTGAGTTTTGTTTGTTTAGATTATGGAAATGTTTCAAGGGCCCCCAAATGGGTCTTGTACATAGTTGGTACTCAATAGATATTTATTGAATGAACATGAACATCGAGGAAAAGAGTTTCTGTCATTAATTTCTCTCTCTCTCTCTCTTTGTTTTTAATTTCCAGGCTATTAGTTCTGGGGACAATGGGGCTCACTCCCATTCTTCTGTGAATATGTTGATTGCTGTAGGTGCCATCACTGTAGTTATGAGTTTCCTGGGATGTTATGGTGCTCTAAAAGAGAATCGCTGTATGCTTCTTTTGGTGAGTTCTCCAGACATTCCAACTCTCAGATTCTTGAGGATGATCTCCTGTCCCCATTCTCTGTCAAAAAAGACTTGCCAAGATTGATGCAACTTTAACTTCTGTTTTGAGGTTTGATTGTAGACACTAATGTGGTTTAGATTTGGCTTAGCCTGGTTTAGATTAGAGGACATTCTGAGAGGGGGTATATTTTAATCATCCATCCATTCATTCGTTCACTTTGTTTATTCATGCAACACGACTGCATAGCTGTATGTGCCAGAAAGTGTGCTAAATGACATATGAGATCTAAGGATAATTAAAACCCATTGGGGAAGAGTAGTCAGTAAACAAAGAGCTGTAGTGTGGGAATGGTCGGAAGGGCAAGGACATAAGAGGGAGTTTTCAAGCCAGAGGCAGAGGTGATGGTATGGTGACAGGGTGATGACGTTTCCAGGAAGACAGCCTGGCAGTCCAGAGCTGACAGGTTTGGGCAACTGAAAGGCTTTGGGTGTGGCGGGAGAGTGGCAGAGGCTATTTTCAGTCAATGATAGGAAATGACTCTGAGTGTGAATTATGGCCAAATCTTATTAAAATGCCCACATGCCAAGCTACGAAAATCTTAAGGGAGAGAATCAACTTTGTCACTTAGAAAATTTCCAGGAAGATAGAATGGGTTGTGATAACTGATAGGCATTCACTTGTCTGTGTGTGTGTGTGGGGGGGAATACTGGGGATTGAACTACTAGGATGCTTTATCACTGAGCTACCTCCCCAACTTTTTATATTCTTTTGTATTTTAAGACAGGGTCTTGATAAATTACTGAGGCTGACCTCAAACTTGCCATCCTCCTGTATCAGACTCCCAAGTTACTGTGATTATAGGCATGTGCCCCTATGCCTGGCTACGCATTCACTTTAAACATATATAGTAGAAAATAATGGATGAGTATGGTAAAAATGTTTAAAGAAATCAATTGTTTATCATATATAAATCTGATATAAGCATTTATCAAAGAGAACTTAAAACTTATTTTTCTAATAAAATAAGTATGGTGTCAGTCCTTGAAACCATATTTTTAACTGTTTATTGTGAGGGGAAACAGAGACAGAGTTTAATAGAACTCTAAGAGCATCTCAGTGTTGTTTTAACTAATAAGGCCTTATTTGCAATTTGGGGACTTTAATTACTTGAGAAGCTTGTTTGAGAAAAAACAAAACATTAATCTGGGAGCCTGTATCCTTCAAAATTATGATTCAGCAGATCTAAGGCAGATTTCAGGAATCTACATATAAAACAAGATGCCATGTAATTGTGATGGTGGTGGCAATACTGTTCTGAAGCCAGCTCTGCATGTGTTTGTAATTGATGAAGAAAGCAAAGGAGAAATAATAGTCTAACAAATTCACTTATGTTTTCAAATTTTCCTTCCTTTAATATCATGCGGATACCAATTGTCCTATAAAGTAGTTTTGTTTGAACCACTTTCTTTGATCAGTCTTTGAAGCAAATGTTCCTGAGTAGTAATGGACCCCAAATTGGGAGCTTGATACAAAGGGTGGAGGAAATAAAGATTGTGGCTAATATTTCAACTGCTATCTGATCCAAGTTGTCAAGAGTGTGTCATGCTGAAATGTCCTAGATGTTACTAGATACACTGAAGGAAACAGATATTACTTTTTTCTTTTCTTCTCTCCAGTTTTTCATAGGTTTGTTTCTGATCCTGCTCATGCAGTTGACAGCAGGTATCCTAGCAGCGAAATTCAAACCTGAGGTGTGTACACAGAGAATATTTGATAATTTTGGAAAAGTCTAAAAATTTGAAACACTATCTCTGATGCGAATAATCTAACAGTACTTCTCAATTTTCAGACTGAGCGTGCTCTGAAGGCAACTCTCCGCGAAAGTGCACAGCTCTTGAGTCAAACAAATGAAGAAGGAAGAAAATTTCAGAAAACCATGGTTACATTCCAAAAAGAGGTAATTAGAATTCATATGTCATCTGGGCAGCTGGGCATAGTTATTCAATGTTGGTTTCACTTTTTAAGGTGTATTTCTTAAGGATTGAATACCTTTTTTTTTTTTTTTTTGCAGATTTTAGCTGATCATTCTTGTCACCTTGCAAAAAGAAAAATTCAAGCATATTTGTATTTATTTTTTTCCCAGATTCTTATGAAGTTTTGAAGTAGTTTAGGACACAGATTAGGAAGATAGGTTTATGGCAGATTATGACAGTTTATGACCCTTGATTGGGTAAAAACCGTAATTCTTTTAAACAGTAGCATATCTGGGATATTTCTCACTCTCTCTTCCTCCATAAAATGATCATAGCTAACATTTTCACTGATATTTACTTTGTATCAGATATTATATTTAGTAGCAAACAATACAACAACCCCAGGAGATGGTGTTTTAGAATGTTTTGTGTTGCTATAACAAAATACTTGAGGCTGAATACTGTATAAAAGAAGATGTATTTAGCTCATGGTTCTGAAGGTTCAAAAGTATGGCAACCTCATCTGCTCATCTCTGGTGAGGGCTTCATAAAAGTTGGTTGCTACACTGGTAGGAGCATATACAGAAGAGATCACATGGTGAGATAGGAAGCTAGAGGCTAGCAGGTTCACTTTTGCTCTTTTTATAGCAAATCATTCTCTTGAGAACTAGTTCACTCACTAAGTGGGGCTGATCATTCTTGACCCTTCCTAGTAAACTGACCTTGGACAAAATGAAATAGAGGCTTCTGGGTTAGGTCCTGAGTCATATTTGCTGCCCACTGTTCCTGGAATGTAAGGTCTCAGTGCCAGCTGTGGGTTTCTAAATGTTCTGTTGGAATATGTTCTTCTGATGTGCTCCCATTCTTGTGTAGAAATCCTGTGCCTGAAGCTGCTTGTGTTCGTAGTTCTATGCTTCTTTCTTATTATCCATTCTGTTTTTCTTCTTTATGTTCTTATCTGCTTTGGCTTTCTGTTTTTAGTTACTCTTTTTGGGAAAAGGTTCCTACCCTAAACTCTGACTGTGGGTGACCTGGGGTACCCTACACATGCACAGAAGTTGCAGAGGCTGAGTGGTTTTCTCTTTGGATTTCAGGAATTCCCCCAAATACCGTGTTAACATTGTACGGAATGTGCCCTTCTTGGGTTCTTGGTGATGACTACTCGTCTAGGGGTGTTCTACCATTCACTCTATCATACAGGTTTTGTTCAGCTGTTATATTACTTTCCAGCAAGTTCCGATCAACTTCTTCCATAACTGTTTACGAACTGCTGAGAACTGCTGATGTTGAGATCAGACATCAAGACAAGGTTTAGCTTTTCTGCCTCCTACCTGGTCTCCTCTATTTCTCTATGCCTCCCAAAGGACACCTGAGGCATATTGTACAAAATATGAACTGACCTGTGAGTGTATTTAGGAGATTTAAATTCTATTTGACATGTAGTGTCCATATCAATTAATGCTATTCAAGATTATGAGATCAGAAAGCATAAGCAATTAGTCATGTCTACCATGGGAACAGGAAAGTGTGCCCCACCCCCCTGCCCAAGAGTATCCTCTTTGCTAATTTTGACCTTAGAACCACCTGAAATTGCTAGCTCTTTGTCATAGGAACATCATCTGAGTCATGTGTTTGTACAATTCAGTCTTTGGGCCAAATTACAAGGCTTTATATTTGCCTCAGTTGAATTTGTTAGTTTAAATCCATTTTTTGAATCAAATTTGAAATTGATTCAGTCTTCCAGCATGTTAATCATCACTCCCATCTCTATATCAACCATAGTATTGAAGAAATGCTTTCTATGTCTTTATCCAAATCTTTGATAACAATGTTGAACAGATCACATTTAGGTGAAAGCATAACAGACACATCAACAGATGACAAAAATAAAATTATAGCAGCTAATCCATATTATTAAGAGCATTCTATAAGCCAGGCACTGAGCTAACACCACTTCATATCTTCATATGGATTTTCTACAATTTATGAATTAGATGTTTTTATTAGGAATTGTTCTTATCTGAATTTTCAAATGAAGAATCTATGACATAGAGAGGTTTAAATAACATGGGTAACATGATCACCTACCCATTAAATGAGAGTGCTTTCAATAATCTGGCCATTTCAATGCCTCAAAGTCTGGAAGATCAGACAGTGAAGGTTCTAGTTTCTTTAGTCAATTTTTTTTCCTTGCCATTTCTGCATGAAGATTCTTCTCCCTAATAGATCAGTTAGGAGCAAGATGAAGGATAATGTCTTTTATCTTTTTCATTTAGTAATATTATGTGCCATATGCCCTGAGTGATTGGGCTTATCACTTCCCTTTTTTTCTTCCTCAAACTTGGCCAAACTTGATGCTGCCTTGTCTTTGGTGTTTTGTCATGTGTCTGTCTATGTTGGGCCTGAAGCTTACTGACATTATTCTAAGAGCTCCAGCTTGCATTTGTACTTCCCTCAAATATTTAAAAGACGCCTATGCAAGTTCATCTCAGCGAGGGCCCCTGGAGCATGCTCATTGGTCTTTGAAATACCTCTCGTCCTTTTCCTCCTATGAAAAGTGATCAGAAATCATGGGATAAAAATCATAATTTTAACACTTCTTATCTCTTTTGAGCAACAGTTCTTTAATGAGACCTTAACTCTCTTGTGAAAACTTGGAAACTTCTTTGCTAAAAATCTAGGATACCTAGACCTAACTCTGCTCTCTTTTCTGTCTAGAAAAAAAAAAAAAAAAAACTAGAAGGGAAGTCTTTACTTTTTAAAAATCAGTTTTCTAAGTTCCTTAGACTTTTGCATCTTAGCTCAAATTTTCCTGTTATTACTTAATTAATAACTATTAAGACCAAAATGAAAGATTCCTTTATTTCTGCTTCTATATTCAGAGAACTGGGCGAGTTGACTTACTTTATATTTTAGCATAAGAAACATGTTCATAATGATATTCAGAAGAATATAATTCAATGTATTAAAAATGTTTTTAATCTCTCAATGACTGTTTTTATTCTACTTTTCATTGAACAGTTTAAATGCTGTGGTTTGATCAGTGGAGCTGCTGATTGGGGACGTAATTTTGAAGAAGCTTATGAGTCATGTAAATGTTCAAGTCCATCAGATTCTTGTATAACTTATACAGGAAGATATGTTTATAAACAGGTGGGAACTAAATCAAACTTATCACAATAAGTGGTTCTGTTATTTTATTTTCCCAATAAAAATCTCTACAAAAATTTGAAACGCAGCAAGTACAATGGAAATCATGATATGAAAATCTCAGGAATTACTCAAATAAAAAGGAAATACTTACTGAAAAATAAGAGCAGAGCTGGACTCAATAGTGCATGCCTGTAATCCCAGTGGCTTGGGACACTGAGACAGGAGGATCACAAGTTCAAGGCCAACTTCAACTATTTAGTGAGGCTCTATGTAACTTAGTGAGACCCTGTCTCAAAATTAAAAACAAAAATTTAAAAATGGCTGGGAATGTGCTCTGTCCCTGGGTTCAATCTCTAGTACAAAAGAAAAAAAAAAAAAAAAGAAAAAAACATAGAAAGAAACATATATTTAAAAAATTAAAGTATTTCATTAATTTCTTCTATGGGTTTGGTATTATTTAAACCCAACTTTAGTAGGTCAAAGTAACATTTTACATGTGAAAGCAAAGTACAAACTAACATAAAAGTTTATTTTGGCCTGTCTTTGGTGACCTTAATCATTATTCTCTTTTTTCCCCCTATTGTAGACTAAGTTCCAGAAATAAATATTTTCACTTCAGCTTGTAAAATCAGGCCTCCCCCCACCCTCCCAAATCAAAGGTTTCTTTTCTCAAGAAATTGTACATGTGTAAAGAAAGGATGTGACATTTAAGGGTTTAGGTTCTGAATGTTTAATGTACCTACAAATTTACCTATTGCAATTGAGGAGTTGCTTCGGATATTTAAAGTTAACTTAAAAGACGATTTTTTAAAAAAATGTGTTTTAGATGCCATATCTATGTGACTTGTGGCTATTAATATGTATTTGTCATATTTCTTTTCTGAATCAATTCATCAAATATTTACAGACTACCTATGTGCTAGCCTTTCTGCCAGCCAGTTGAAATCTATGCTTGAACAGGGTACAATGTTATACACATGGATGCTCAAATTAGGAAGAGAGAAATGTAATCAGGCAATTTCCATTTGAGGGACTGTTGGTATTGTGGGGATAGAGGAAAATTTGGGTATTATGGACCCAAACTAAGTTAACATTTGAAGTTCAGAATATGTTTCACAAAAGGATGTGACATCTGTCCCTCACCAAAGGGCTTTTCATAAACTGTCCCTCTGTTTGGAAGGAATGCATAAAAAAGTAACGTTGATATTAGTGTTTCATTTATTTGCTGTTATTCTTCACTGCCTATTATATGTCAAATAGACCCTTGCTAAAATCAGAAATGCTTCAGGATCCTCTAGCAAGTTATAATCATTTGGGGAGAGAGATATATAATTATTATGATTCACAATGAGTTAATGTCTATAATATCTGAAAATTATTTTCAGTCTGGTATTGTTTGGGCTTAGTGATAGCTCCTGAGATTAATATATTCAAGGAAATGAAGTATCTCAGAAAAATTTTCTCCTTCTACTACTGATCTGTGTCACTGATCTTATTAGAATAATAGAGACTGTTCTGAAGAATTGCCAGTACTAATATTTCAAAGTAACTGATGGGGGAGAAATTATTTGCCAGACTACCATATTACTATGTCTTTTCATCATCAAAGTAATATTGCTTACAAATTTCGTATTTTTTGTTCTTCCTTTATTCTGTCCTTTATTCCCTACCTAATTTTAGAGGCACAATATCTTCAAAGAGTAGGAAATAAATATAGTGCAAATGAATGTAGTTTCCACTTAGGATAATGAGGAAATGACTAAATTCAATTGCAGATTACTGTCTCCTATTAAATATTAAACTCAAAGATATTTTGCCTCAGGGTTTTGAAAAGCCTATTTTTGAAAAGTATTATCAGGAGAAAAAAGAAAGATAGTCCCTGTAAATTCACACAACATTCATCTGAATGTAGGTTGATAGCTGCCCCAGGTTCCCAAAAGGAAGGTCAGAAATTCATAAAATACTTGCATCTGTCGCGTGTCATTTGTAAGAAGTCTGGAAAAATATGAAATCTGGAATGTCCATGATTCATAATTCTTTTTTCCTTCCTGTTTGCCAAGATAGCTTCCTTATCTTGGGGAAAAGGGAAAGAAAAACCCTCAATTATAATAAGTGTGACTCAGTAGATACTATCATTAATCTCTCAGTTAACCCTAAATGACATGATAATCTCCTCAAATGCCTACTGCTTTGGATTGGATGTGCATAGAGAAACCCACTAAATTCAGGATGAAGGGAAAAGATAAAAGCCCATTGGAGAACTTTTATTTTATAAGCAGTAATATTTTATGAGCCTTTTGTACGCATATGACTATCATAGGGATGATACATTTTATGACAATACAGGCAATACCTCTACTACACTGTGTAGTATTTTTCCATTTTAAAAATTATCCTTATGGTTTATAATTGTTGAAATTTTTAAATGTGGTCTGAAATTATTTGAAATTAGAATTGCATGTTAGTTTGAATAAGCATCAAAAATACAGCAGAGGGCTGGGGCAGGGGCTTAGTGGCAGAGCGCTTGCTTAGCATGTGTGAGGCACTGGGTTCGATTCTCAGCACCACATATCAATAGATAAAATAAAGGTCCATTGACAACTAAAAAATATTTTTAAAAATATAGCAGAGAGATCACTTTCTAAATGTCTTATCTAACATAATAGCATAATGGCAGACATAATTTTTACCTTCTAGGAGATATCAAAGGATTTTAAATTTTTTGTTTTAAAAAACATGATTAGCTACAACTTCACCCAAGTACCTCTCTGCTGCTGATTAAAAACCTAAAATAGCCAGGTGTGGTGGCATACAACTGTAATCCCAGTGATTCAGGAGGCAGAGGAAGGAGAATCGCCAGTTTAAAGCCAGCCTTAGCAAAAATGAGGCACTAAGCAACTCAGTGAGAACCCTGTCTCTAAATAAAATACAAAATAGGGCTGGAGTTGTGGCTCAGTGAGTTTAATATTCCTGAGTTCAATATCTCTGGTAACAACAACAACAACAACAACAAAAATCTCTAAAATATCTGAAGTTAGGATAAAATTCATTATTTATCATGTTTAAGTTTTAAAAATTATAATTTGGGGAGATATTTGTGAAAAAAAAACACACATGGTTTATAATTATTGACCCTTAGGTTCAGCAACTCAAAAGTTGAAGCAAAGTTTGCTCCTCAAATTCTTTATAATTTAGGAATATATTAGTATAAAAAGTTGTTATTTATAATAAAAGATCCTTGATTCAGTAATTACAAAATTGAGCAGAATTTTGCTACTCAGATGCTTTTTAGTAGATGAACAAATCACAGGAGTTGTAACCTTCCAAAGCAAGGGGGTTAGCAGGGAGGGAAACAATAATCAAGTTGCTTTAAGTTGAGTGTGATCCTTGGGAGCAATATAAAAAGTTGACCAAATGAATAAAAATCTTAAATAAATAATTATTAATTAAGGTCTACATTTTAACAAAAGCTAACTTTTTTTTTTTTTTTTTGAACAGACATGTGAACCAGTTATAAGAGCCTCGGTTTCAAACCACCTTGATATAGTTATTGGACTATCATTCGGATTGGCAGCTGTCGAGGTACAGTATAATCTTGCATGATTTACTCTCCAATCTATTGCTTGTCCATTAGTTCTTCCAACAGATATTTATGGCAAGCCAAACTAAAAATAAAATAAAATAAAATAAAATAAAAAACCCAGATGCTTTAGGAAAGCATGGGGTACCAAGTGCCCAAGGGCCAGCATCTCCCTAAATCAGCCTTGAGTCTGATGGGGGTGGATTAGAGCAGGGCCAAGGCTGCTATTTCTGAATGATCTCTCTATTGAGGAAAAAGTAGAATTAATTTTTATGGGATTCTTGGTCTTAGATAACCTTTCCCGTTTGAAAAACAGCATAAGGGTTAAAATTTCCTGAAGTGAGAAGGAAAAACCACCAGGATAAAACAAAGAACTAACCTTTATAACTTCTGATTTCTCATCATGATTTTGAAACAAAATAAAAACTGAAATCAAGTGTGGAGAGCTGTTCTCCTGTTATTCTATTCTAGGGAAACCAGTAAGTTCTAAAGACCAGGGGAAATTGCCTCTGATTTTTCTTAGCCTCAGTACTATAAATTCACTTGGAGAAGTTTTCAAGGAAGCTCTGACTGGGGCCTAGGTATTACTCTCAGCAATTTAATTATTGATGTTGAAAAAAATATTCTGTGTAGAAGACTTATCTTGATGGATTTTCTTGGCATGGACTTTTAGAACCCAAGGAATGCTTTTTCATGTCCTAAAAATCTTTGCCAACAGGATGAAATTAAACTGTTTCTGGAGAAGCATTTTTGGAATTATCCAGATCTTAGGTAATTTAGATATCAAGTGAGTCAAATTCACACACAGTCCTATTTCAGAGCATTAGCAAGAATTTAAGCAATGTAAGGTATCTCCTGGTGAATGCCTCTGAGGTCTGAGCTCCACCAAGTGCTATTTGCTTCACGCTTAAGAAATATCCTGCAGCATCCCTTTAGACTTTGTGATACTCTCCACCTCTTTCCCATGCCACATCACTGTCGGATAGGAATTTTAGTTGAGATTAAAACGATTTAGTGTCTTACATGGTCGTTTAGGTTATAGGTAGAATTTCTCAGCCAACTATTAGACAAAGGGTAGGTATTATTAGCAGCAAATTGGACTGTTGACTATTACTTTCTTACAAAGCAAATGAGTAGATCTAAAAGTGAGGCATCCTCTTTATTTGTGTCTGATGTGTTATCAAAGTCAAGTGGCAATATGCATTAGGTCTATTTCTTGTGATTCTGCCTTTGGTTTCCTTGCTCTATATTCTGGGTTTATGTTAATTTAGAAATAAAAGCTAATGTCTATAGAGGTGAGTGAAGACACATTGATACACTTGTATAAACAAGCAGCAACATGCACATATATCTTAATAGAATAGAATTAAATGCATGATTGGGGACTGGGATGTTGCTTGGTGGTAGAGCATATGCCTAACATGTGCCAGGCCCTGAGTTCAATACTAGCACCAAAAGTAGGTAAATGAATAAATACATGAATGAATGATTGGGAGTACAGGCTTATTATAAGGTATTGAATATTGAATATTGGCCCTATTATTAAATTTCATGTTAGACCCAACTTCAGACAATTGACTAAGACTGGCTACAGGTCACAGATGCTTTTAAGAAGATTCTTGAAAGCAAAGCCAAAAATAGAATAAATAAAATATGGACATAGTCGATTGTGAAGATTGATGTCTCCCATATCCAAAGCATTGCCAAGACTTTAGATGCATCTAGTGGAAAAATAAAATTACAAGAGGAAGAGAGCATTTCAATATTTTATGAAATTGGTGTAATCCATGTACTTGTTACATGTTTAGATATTTCATGGGTTTTTCTGTACAGGAAAATACCTTAATAAAAACCTTCAATACAGTAATTTATAGGTATAGAGTTTGTTTTAGTCAGCTTTTTTGCTGCTGTGACTAAAAGGACCCAAACAGAACAACTGTATGGGAGGAAAAGTTTATTTAGGGGCTCACAGTTTCAGAAGTCTCAGTCCATAGACAGCAGACTCCATTCCTCTGGGCTCAGGGTGAGGATGAACATCATGGAGAGGGTATGGCAGAGAGAAGCAGCTCACATGATGATCAGAAAACAGAGAGAGAGAGAGAGATTCCACTAGTCAGATACAAATATACCCCAAGGCCACACCCCCAATGCCCACCTTTTCCAGTTACCACTCAGTTATTCTCATTGGGATTAATTCACTGATTGGGTTAAGGTTTTCACAACCCAATCATTTCTTCTAGGAATTTTATTGCATTTTTCTGACACATGAGCTTTTGGGAAACACCTCACATCCAAACCATAACAGAGTTTATATATGGTGCTGTCCCAAAATATGACTATTTATTCATTTTTAGTTAGATCAGTTAAATTAAGTATGATTTCCAGACTATCTATAAATATGGCAAATGTTTGATTCAAAGAATGTTTTGCAACTCTTTTGCTGCTATTGTCATTTTGTATAGTTTCTCAATCTAAAGCCTGCCTTCCCTCTTTTGTTTTAAAGAAAACAAAACTCATTTTATATACTTTCTCCATTTTATTAAAAAAGAAGCTTTAAAAATAGCCTTTTGTTATCCAGTCTGTAAAAAAACATGTATCCTAAAATGTCCTATGTTCTTAGTCATTAGGGCTAATTGCCTATCACTTAGGTGCACTGCCCCCTGCTTCTCTGTTTTTCAAATTCAAATTTAAAAAGACACAAAAATACATAGAAATTTTCTTCTACTAAATCTTTTAAATGAAACAAAGCGATTATCTCCCTGCAGAAAATAAATTCAGACCATTTCCATGGGGAAATATGGGGACAAACAGCCAAAACCTTCTCACATTTAGACTTCTGCATAGAATTTAATGGGGTGGGTCATGGATTATAAAAGACTTTGTTAAGACAATATACCCTAGTAGGAGTTCTTCTCAGATTGGATGCTAGGAATCTATACAGAATGCTTTATTGTATTAAAAAAATTATCCCTGAACATTTTTTTTAAAAATTTCTCATTAGATTTAAATAACCAGATTATCTCTCTCCTTAAAAATGATAACAGCAATTTATAAGCCCAGAAAAAAAGATTAACACTTTTTTCTTCACTTTCATTTAAAAAAATAAAAAGCCATTGAAACTGTCAGTCATCACATTGAAAGTTATCCTAACAGGAGGTCCTAAGAAGAGAGTGGTTAAAAGAAAAATGATGATTTTATCACAGTGGTTAGCCTGCTTCAGAACATGGGAACCTGTGCATACCACTTGGGAAGTTTGTCATGAGTCTGAGCATACAGTATAAAATGATGGATCTCTTTTGTTTGCTATTTGTTTGGAAAGATCATAAAAGTTCTTTACAGAGACAGTGAGATGCAAGAAACATCCTTGTCCTCCAGACTTAAAAGTTTCGGATCAGGTAAAAGAATTTAGTCCTGAATTTTATGACATTCTCATTGAAAATCATTACTTCAGAGAATTTATGTCTGTTTTCTTTCTAAGAAGGAAGAAATACCAGGCAGCCGTTCTCCTTTGAATTACATTTCCACTAAGGTATTAGTTAGCAAAAAGTCACACAGTAGGAGTGTTTGAGATGACTCAGCATAAGGGCACCTTGCCCTCTCTGCTACCCTTCAAAGGGAACTGGTAGGGAGAAAATTTGCGATTTGCAATGCACATAGGTCCTTTCTGTCATTTCTACATCAAAGCCACCACATGCAAGTCACCAACAGCAAAGCCAATTTAGAGCAAGTTTTGGGGTCCCTTATTCTTGGGAGAGATAATGAGATAGAAATTATGCCCCATATTTTCAGCTGTGCTTTGGCACTTCAAAGGAAATTCCTGAATTAAGTGATTCTCCCCATATTTTAGAAATCTTTTTTTAAGTTTCTTCATTTTTCTTCTTCTAGGCAATGCCTAAAACTATGGCGAGAGAAATTCTAGACTTCTTGATTTTTATGCAGATAATCTAAACCAGATGACCATAGCTTTTTTTTTTTTTTTTATGTAAGCAATAGGTATATTTAGGCCTCAGGTCCCAAAGTTACAGGGAAAATGCTTTACAGAAAGACATGAATGTTGGAGAAAGGGGAAGGGGTCCTTTGGTGGTAGTTACTACTGCACAACTAAATAGGGCTGTTGAAGACTGAATAGTAAAAACTCCTATTTAAGACAGGAACAAAACCTCAGAACTTTCTTAGTAGTCTCCTGTCCCATTGGAGTCTAATTTCCCCAGAGATTCAGTAAGACAGAATTTTTTAAAATATAATGTTCTTTCTGTTTATTTAATAATGTCTCTAGAATTTTGCCTTAAAATTTCACATTAATCTTTTCTTTTATTCTCTAGGTACTTGGTATGGTGTTTTCTATGATCCTGTTTTGCCAGATTGAAAAAAGATGAATTTGTTCATGGATATGATAAGCTACCATCAGTTCAAACCCTTTTGCAATTTTACTTTGGCTTTGTGACTTTAAATATATGAGTGTTGTATATGTCCAGAGCAGCTGTCTTACTAAAATGCCTCCTTTAACTAAAGATATCTTCCATACTTATTGAATATATTTAAGATTTTAGGGTCATAAGATAAATGATATTAATTTGTATTTTTACTCAAAATAAAAATTACATTAGTTGGTGCTTTTTTGGGTGTCTGATCATGGTGTTCAGGTGGCTCTATGCTTATAATGTTCATCTGGAGTCACCCAGTGGAATAACCTTCATTTCCAAGTGACGGGGGCCATAGAAACAAGACTCTGTGATCTGTAGCAGGCATTAGTGACAAAATTGAACTAAGTTGGGAGTTAAAATGATTGAGAGTGTTCTGGCTGAGTTGCTACCACTTTTCCGCTATGTGTCACTGACTGCTAATAGTGCCTCTCTTTTGCTGCCTACATTGTGGGGACAAGAACTGAGAGCTCCCCTCCCAACCCTTGAATCTCTGGAATCTTTCTGGATCTTCCTCCCATGTACATCGGTTTTAAATACTTTTCTTTCAAGATCTCAGAGATACTCTTAAAATTTACTTGTTATTAACGTATAGTATGTATATTATATTTAATATATATACTATATTATATATATATGAATCTTAAGTGCATAGCTCTGTGAATAGGTATATACCTGTGTAGACACCATCCATATACAGATGTGAAACTTTTACAGCCCAGCTTCTCCTTCATGCCATATCCAAGTGGTGTGCTGAAGCTGGCTTATGCCAACTTGCTTGAGCAGATTGTACGTATATGTACTTCAAGTCTGAATAAGTCTGGGTTCAGTGCCATCACCTTGTTAACTCATAACCCACCATAATGGGAGTATTAACACCAAGAAAACTGGCAAATACTATAACATTTGGGCTCTTATTGTTATTATTTTAACAGGTGGTTGTAAACGTATCTATATACTCCTTCTCTTGGAAAATAGCTTCCCCACAGTAACTACTCTTCTGAGGACCATTACCACAGATTCATACTGCCAATTCTTAAACCTTCTCTAAAGGGAATAATAAATCATACACTCTGGGTTGTTTTGCTCAGCATTTTGTCTTTGAGACTCATCTATATTATTGCATGTAGCTATAGTTCATTCTCATTGCTATGTGTAATATTCCATTGTATCTGAATACATCACAATATATTTATCCATTTTTCTGTTGTTGGGCATTTGGTTGCTCTATTATGAATAAAGCTTCTATAAACATTTTTTACATATCCTCTGATACATATATGCATTTCTGGATATATTTATGAAGAGTGGGACTGTTTTTTATACGTGTTTAGTTTTAATAGATTCTGCCATGAAATTTTCTAATGTGGTTGTAATAATTTATACTCATACTAGAAAAGTGAAATGTTAAGGGGTTATTCTCAAACAGGTTAGAGTGATGGCCAAGAACTAGGTAATATGGGGGAGCCCTGCTGAGTTAGGGCCTCTCTTCTGTGCTTCTTTATTAATCATGAGAGATAACAATGCTTCCATGATCACATTCTACCTTCCAGGAACTAGACCAGAAACTGTTTTTATGACCTAATTTCTTCTCATCACATCCTTATGACATAAATACTGTTATTATCCCCATTTTGCAGGTGAGAACATTGAGGCTTAGAGAAGTTAGGTAACTTACCCAGACAGAGTAACTGGCTGAACTGGGATTTAAACTTTAAGAAAGCTTTAAATCTTGATTGCTGATTATGTTGGCTTTCCATAATCTACCTGTCAATAAAATTGCCGTATTTTGTTATAATTACCTGTTTAAATGTGTTTGCCTCTAATATAATGAAACTCCTTGAAGATTATTTCTTATCTGTGTTTATGTCTTCATGCACAGCACTTGGCACAATTATAATTGGCACTCTGTAAATTGAAGTTAAAAATAATATGTACTGAGAGCTTACTATATGTTTAAAAGTATTCTAAGAACTTGGAACAACTCATTTAGTCCAGAATAAACCTCTTACATTAGTGCTATTATTAGACCCATTTTAGAGACAAGGAAACCAAGTCAGGGAGAGATGCACTTTTCTTCGATACTGCAGTTAATAAGGGAAGGAGTTATGATTCAGTCTGACTCAAAACCTGTGATTCTTATGTCTTATCATTTTGTCTGCCTTATAATGTTGTTGAAAGTAAGAAATTTTAAAAAATTGTCTTTTGCACAATGTCAGACACATTAGAAGCTCAATAAATATTACGTGGTATCGATGGTATAAAGAACTTTGCCAGTTGGTATTGGCAGGAAACAGAAATCCTCTGGCCATTTCAAACAGTGAAATTTTAATGCAAGGTCCTGTCAGATTGAGTGGCTAGAACACAGTCTCAGCTAACTGAGTGGCTTAAACAACAGAAATTTTTTTTCTGTAGAATTTTAGAGGCTGACAATTCCAAAATCAGGGTGCAGGAAAATTTAGCTACTGATGAGGCTTTTTTTTTTTCTGATTCATAGACAATTCCTTGCTGTGTCCCCACACAAGGAAGGAGGGGAAAGAGCATGCTCTAGGGTGTCCTCTTATAAGGATAGTAATCCTATAAACTCAAGATCCCACCCTTATGACCTTATTTAAAATTAATTACTTCTTTATTCCAAATTCTTCCACAATAGGGGTGGGCTTCAACATATGGATTTTAGGGAAACACAACTCATTCTATAGCAACTTCTTACACAGGTGTTGGAAAAAGTGAGAAGCCAAATGGGTTGGTGAGGTAAACCAGAGATTAGCAAAGTAGGAAGTTGTTACTACCACCCTTAGATCTGGAGAATCTGAAGTGCTATGAGAGCCCAGGATCCAGAGCCACCTGGTGGGAGATAGGGCCATGGCAGGGACCTCAGAGGAAGGACTTGCCTAGTAGAAATAGGAGCCAGGATGGCAACTTAGCAGATATTGCCAAAAGAAGAGAGGAGAGAGAGCGCAGTGCCCTGGCTTCTTCCCTCTTCCCCACTCGCATCTTTTTCCAGAACTCCCATGGCTGCACCCTGCTAGAAGCCAGAAGACAAAAGAGCCTGGGAACACAGTTTCCTAGACCTGGGAATAACAAGGGATAGACAGGGAGCAGAGGGAAGACTTACCATAAAGGAAAACAGGCAAATAGGTGTTGAAATTTTTGAGAAAATGGTTAGGAAAATTGTGGAAAGTATAAAAGAGATTTAGAATTTTCATGAGAAATCGTGCAAAATTTTTTGAATGATTCCTCTTTTGGGTAACATTCATGGCATTTTAGGGATAAAGAGGCTTTAGAATAGTTGACTAAAAGGTGTCTTTTGTCCTGCTGGGAATATTTTATAATGTCTGGAAACAGTTTTTGGTTGGGTTGTTACGAGGTGGGTATTACTGGTACCTGGTGGAGCCAAGCCAGAAATGCTGCCAAACTTACCATGCACAGGAATGTGCCCCACAACTAAGAATAGAGAATCACACAGAAATAGAAACAATTCCTTCCCAGGAGACAGCACCATGCATATGACTATGGAAGGTGAACTAGAAGGAGCCAGAACTCACGGACCAGCATGTGAACTTTGTGACTTTTGTAGGTCACTTGAGTGTCCTCTACTTCAAATAAGAAATCTTATTAAGAAAATATTTTAGATTCCCTACCATTACTTGTTAATCTCTGTGTAGTAATTTCTAAAGTGTGTTTAGTTTCCTTTTTAGGAATTGAAAAATAAGAATATTTATTTTCTCCCTTACTTTGCTGTAGTTTTTACATATGAGAGAAAACATTTGACCCTTAACTTTCTAAGTCTGCCTTAGATGATAATCTCCAGTTCCTTCCATTTATTGGTAAATGCCATAATTTCACTCTTCTCTATGGCACAACTCCATTGTGTGTGTGTGTGTGTGTGTGTGTGTGTGTGTGTGTGTGTGTGAGACACACCACCTTTTTTTTTTTAGAGAGAATTTTTTAATATTTATTTTTTAGTTTTTGGTGGACACACATCTTTGTTTTATTTTTATGTGGTGCTAAGGATTGAACCCAACGCCCCGCGCATGCCAGGCAAGTCCTGCTACCGCTTGAGCCACATCCCCAGCTCATCACCTTTTCCTAATCCGTTCATCTGTTGACAGGCACCTGGACTGGTTCCATAACTTGGTGGAGGATTGGATCTCACAAACATAGAGGGAAGATCAGTGGCGTAGAGGAAGGAGATTGAAGGGAAGGGAGAAAAAATGGAAAAGGGAGGAAATAAATGAATTTACAAAATAACACCATGTATAAGTATAAATGTACAACAGTGAATTCCACCTTTACAGGTAAAGCATCAATTTAAAAAAAGAATAAACAAATATAGAAGACCAATAGAGTAAAGGAAGGAGAATATGGGGAGGGGAGGGAAAGAGGAAGCACTGGGGATTAAAATGCTGCAAGTTAAATTCTATGCGTGTATGAGTATGTCAAAATGAGCCCCACTATTATGTATAACTATAATGCACAATTAAAAGCACTTTAAAAATGAATATTTTTGTATGATGGTTATCTAGATTTTAATTTCACCTTTTAGTACTAAAGGTGATTATGATGGAAGATTTTACTCTTTCGAAGGATATTAGATTCAGATTTAAGAATAAATTCCTTCTTTACCTTCATCCTTCTAAGATCAAACCAGAATATTAAAAAAATACTAAATTTCATTAATTGACAAAAACAAAATAAAAGGAAATCCTCATCAAATTGATAATTCAATGTAAATGGAATTTTTTCCAATTCAGAGAAATATAGGTTTCATCCTCATTATGTTTAAGACTGTATACTTTTATTAATTTAGATATATTAAATTTACATTAAAGCTTGGCATACACTTCTCAAACCTGCCCTTCTTTGCTTCTCTGTCACTAATATGCTTTTATATTTCATAATCTCTTTTGAGGAGATAGGATCAGGATCATTGCAATAATTTTTTTCTGTGC